GAAGAGGATCTTAGAGAGGATGATGATACTCGAGGTAGGACCGTTTCTAGATAAAAGGCCCAGGTGTGGTCGTGAAGACCACAATGAGGAAAGAGGAAATGAGGGTTGCTGGTTGTGGGGAAGCCGGGAGGGGTGTCACAGCATGGGCAGTAGGGGGAATCCGCTCCCGAGGGTATGAGATGGCCTTAGGCCCGAAGGAAGGGGGGCTTCAGATCATGGAGATACATAATATGGAAGTAAGAATGGAGACACAAATCTGAGCTGCACGGCTTACCGTCAGCTTAGAGAACTTCCTTCCGTCTCACTTCTCTAATCAGTAAAGAGGAGACAGTACATAACCCAAAGGGTTATTACTGAGTATTGAACAAATGGTGCTTCTGAGTGTTGTAGCACAGTGCCTGACTTGAATTGAACTATTGTTTAGGATTAGAAACATGGTCCTTGTGAAAAGATGTAGCAAAGGATGCTAGGAGAGTGAGTGAGAAGGATGGTTCACAGATCACCTTTGGAATGGATATGGGAGGACATGTCAACAACTTGCACTCCCTGTTTTGGAAAATTCCAAAAGATACCTGACCTTAGGTTTCTGATGGACTTCTGTTAATGTCTGTCTGACTCAGATATGTCGACAGTGGTCTCTTTACCTCCCTGTTCTCTGTCGAGTTTGTGCGTATTGACTGTAACCAAATATCCTACAGATGTGCTCCTTTTATGTAATGGACTTTTAAAAAATTGCTATATATATTTTTGTTTTGAGCCTCACTGTGCGCTTGTGGGTTGGACCCCAGCCCTTGGCACTGAGAGTGCACAGTCCTAACCAATGGGTTGCCAGGGAATTCCCCCAAAATTACTATATTAAAAAATGTGAGCTGTTCCATTTTTCTTGTTCTTTTCAAGTTATTTTCTATAGCAGAATTTTTATGAATATTTTAATTTAGTTTTTAAGAACTTTATTTTGAAATAATCTTAGGAGAGTTGCAAAAATAGTATGGAGGATTCTTTTCTACCCTTCACCCAACTTCCTCGAATGCCAACACCTTATATAACTTTAGTGCAGTTATTAATACTAAGAAATTAATGTTGGTTCTTATTAAACCACAGACTTGATTCAGGTGTTGGCAGTTTTCCCACTGAAGTGCATGTCCTTTTCTGAGATCCAGCCCAGCATCCCATCTTGGGTCTGGTTTGCCGTGTGTCTCTCACCTCCTCATCAGTGGTACTTCTTCATCTCTGATGCTCTTGACACTTTCCAACAATCCTGCTTATTCTGTATCATGCCCCTCAGTATTTTTCCTTCAGTATGTCTTCCCTGTGTTTTTGAAATCTGTCCCTAGTGCCAGTCAGACTCACATAGTGAAATAGCACAGTGATTCAATTTAGGTGTAGTTTTTAATTAGAAAGTAATTAACTAGAGGAAAATTACTTTTTGGTGCTGCAACTCCCATTTTCCCCAGGCAAAAGATTGTGTTTAAACATGTATATGAAGGTAGTGCTATAAATGAATTAATTTATAATGTATGTTACTAAGGTATTAGTAGAACTTCAACAAAACTGAGAATTACTCTTTAGACTGATCAAAACTGAAGTTTTGATTGATAACTACTCCAAAAATATTTTTGAATGAGATATATTCTGTTAAATAGCCAACTGATAAGGCTTTTCCAATTAAGGAAATAGATATTTGTCTTATATCCATGGAAGTATTAGTCTCATTCAAAGTATTCCTCAGACCTTGTACAATTGTGTATTCTATGCATCACTTGTTCATTATTTTATTTATTATAGGTATTTAATGAGTTATATATCATTGTTTGCATATATGGAAGTAAACTGTTTTTTAGTGCTTTTATAAAATCCATTACTACGGTGTCCTTTTGTGTCCTTACAGTATGTAGATGTATTGACCTATGTTTGAATGGAAGAATTGGTAAACGTGCAGAAGTTTATGTTACTTGTGTCAGCCATACATGAGGATCTCTGTATTACTCAGTTCTGCTTAGAAAGTCACCTTGTTGTAATACTAAGTAAGTTGTCCTCAAATGGTGTCGTGGACGCTGTTGCTGCCCCTCTAAGACCCTGTTCACGTGGCTGGTACAGGCGCACGCGGGTGTGCGTGGTGACTCCTGGTGGCTCACAGCTGCCGTCTTAATCCAGAGCCGTGGCTTCAGGGAGCCGCGTTCTGCAGACAATGGCTGATTGACTCGGGTGGTGTCAAGGTTGTCTCTCCATCTAGGAACTACTACCACCCACTGCATTGCGGCTCAAGTGAGAATCCGGATGCAGCTGTTTTTTAATATACATATATATATAATTTAATTTATTTATTGCAATTTTGGGTTTCTTCCTTAATTCCACATATACAGCTTTTGTGTATAAGCTCATGTCATCTTGAAAAGGCATTTCACCAAAGAAAGCAGTAGCCTTTTCTTTCTTACAAGTCTCCGTCTTACAATTTTGTTTTGATTTCAGTCACAGTAATGGGCTTTCTGTTTTTTAGTTTTCTGTATCTATTAAGTATTTTAATATGCAGGTTAAAGAGGCTGGATCATGTTTGGCCATTAGATAGAAACTAAAAAACATAGTGAATAATTTAGAACAGATGTTCTTATGAAACCACTCTCACCTTTTATAACAATTGTTCCTTAACTTCCTGGCTACTTTTCCTTAGTTAAATTTTTTTTATAAATCATATAAGCTATCTTCACTCATAATTAAAAAATCAATTTATTACCTTACTGCAGTATGTAATAAAACAGTATGTGTGTGTGTGTTCAATTGTGTCCAGCTCTGTGATCCGCATGAACTGTAGCCTGCCAGGCTCCTCTGTCCGTGGAATTTTCCATGGAATATTGTGGCAGGTTGCCATTTCCTTTTCCAGTGGTCTTCCTGACCCAGGGATCAAACCTGCGTCTCCTGTGTATCCTGCATGACCAGCAGGGTTCTTTAGTAGCTGAGCCACCGGGGAATAATGTAAACAGTTGGCCATTGGCTACTCAAAAAGGCACAATAAAGTCACATTCTGGAATCTTTGCCTCATGCCACTGTGAGCACAACAGCTACAATGTAGGTGGATATAGCTGTTGTTCTTTTCTGTTGATTCAGATACCACAAGCAGTATTGTTCTCGGATACCTGAATTTCAGAAATGAAGCACAAATGATGGTGAAGCTTAAAACAAAAACTGGAACTATACACAGTAGTTAGATTTTTGGAAAATTCAATATATATTAAAGATATATAAAGTATTAAATATGTAACAACTTACCTATGAATTCCATTGTATGTCTGATTTACCTGAATTAGAGTCTAGGCTTAGATGATTATGGTTTTCCCCCTCTCTCTGCGCATCTCTCAGTGGGATGCAGGGTCATTCCTTGTGTAGGACTAGTCCATGTGTTGCAGAATGTCTAGCATAGCTTTCCCCTGTAAATGCTGGTAGCATCACCTCAGTCACCGTGACAACTGAAATGCCCTGAGACATTTCCAAAATGCTTCCTAAGTAGTGTTAAGGCCTGTTGAAAATCACTGGCTTAGAGAGAAAAAAAGAAAATAAATAATTATTCACATAGTAGGATATTTCTAACCTGAACAGCCAAGAGTGACGTTACTAATTACTACCTTTTATTGGAATTTCAAATGCAACAACTTCTAAGATCTTAAATTTTATATCAAGGTGAAATGAAGGGAATTTTGACTTTTAAGTGCTTCAAAGGTTTGGTAGCCAAAACCTGAGTCAGCTAAAGGCATAAACTGTAGCGTCTGAATTGTAGCACCCTTATAAAACTTAGAAAAAATTTTAGCTTTCAGCCTCCTTAGGTGATCCAAAGCCCTGATTTTTATGGTCCCAGTTCTGAGTGGATGTAGAGTTTATATACATTCAGATGTCTTAGCGTTGCACACAAATGACCCAAGGCTAAGGTCAGAAGGAAATCCATTTGAACTGCTCTCTCCTTCAGCCACTTTTGTCTTACCTCAGCCTTCCTTCCTTTGTCAGAATAGCAGCTTAATTGATAGATTCTGGTCGCATTTCATATCTTTATCTGGATATTCTTGACTTGTGTTTTTTAGTCACAGTTAGACCTATAGCAGGATCTAGGTTACATAAACCCTTATTTTGAATGGTGCTGTTAAATGTTAGGTGTTTTGTGGTACCTCTTTTCATGAGAGCAACTTTTATGTGATTTAGAATATTCAATAAATTAGTTAATGTATGTTTTTGATAGGGATAGGTTTCCTGGATAGCTCACACAGTAAATAAATAATCTGCCGGCAGTGTGGGCGACCCGGGTTTGATCCCTGAGTTGGGAAGATCCTTTGGAGAAGGGCATGGCAACCCACTGCAGTATTCTTCCCAGGAGAACCCCATGGACAGAGGAGTCTGGTGGGCTGCAGTCCATGGGGTTGCAGAGTCGGACACGACTGAGCACTTAACACTTCATTTTTTGCTGGGGTGAAGAGGTGACAGTTCAAATTGTAGAATGCTTTGCCTTTGGTTGGGATCAGTATTAGGTATTTGGTATGTGCTTGCAGCTTATCAGAATCTGGAAAGGGATTGGCTTGTTTACCCTTTACTGTTTATGCTACGTGAAACAGTGCTTTCAGAATGGTGCAAGATGACTTGTAAAAAAAAAAGCTTATATATTTTTATATAATATATATTTCACAGTTATATATAAATTGTGAATCCTAATACATTTATGAGAGGCAGAAATCTTCAACTGTCTAATTATCTATAATGATGTCAGTGTAATTTTACTAGCCTGTTGTGAATTTTAAAAGTTTTTCTGGTAAGTATTTTACCTGCTCAAATGATCTAGAATACTTTTCTCTGTATCTCTAGTTTCTTTCTTTCTTTTTTCCTCCAGGCAGAGCTACATGGAAATCATTCCAAAACAATTACTGCTGCTTTAGTCACAAATTATTGATTTTCTGTTCACTGTCTATGTAGAATTGCCGCTCTACTTAGATTCTAAAACAAGGCTTTTTAATTGTGTTTTCCAGGAAGATATGAATTTAAATGAAGATAAAAAGGTACCATTGCGGGAAAAGGACTTCAGTATCAAGAAAGAAATGGTGATGCAGTACATTAATACTGCTTCCAAGACAGTAAGTAAAGCTGTCAGGCTGAGAAATACTGCTGAAACTTGCCGTAGTACAGCGAACAATACATCTGTCTAATGAAGTACCTAAGTGTGTGGGCAACGATAATCAGAGAGGTTTTGGGTGTGTAGTTAAAGGTACAAGTATTACAGTAAGTTTGTTTAATTTAAAAGTATTTCTTACCTTATGACTTTTAAACTGCTTTTATTTTTTAGCCATTCACAGTGTTAAGAAACGCTGTGGTTGCTTGGTCTGCTCGCTTTTTAGGTCATCTCTCCTTGTTAGTGAATTAAGATGGGCATTGATCTCTCATGTCACTTATAAATTAGGGTAATATTTGTATTGTAGAAAAGTGAGACTGATTTGACTCTAACAGCCTAACTCAGAATGCATAATCGTGGCTTGGAGGCATCTGTTTAATGTGAGTTTCCCTGTGGATAAAATTAGTTTCTCACAAATTGTAAATGTAGACAGTGAGAGCAGCATTACGTCTCCGCATGGCTGCTGCTTTTCTAGGGAAACATGAAATATGTGGGTGGAAGTAATGACTAAATGTCTGAGAACCATGACTGGCACAAAGAATTTATTTCATGGAACAACAAATGAGCTTGACCAGTCATAGAATTGTGACTAAATGGATTGGATGAAAAATACACAATGGAAGCTAATGAGGAAGCAAGGCTCAGTAAAAAGACAATAGAGAATGCTTTTGGCGGAACATAAAATAGAACTGGACTGGAGAAAAATAACTAAACACACTTGTTTTCATGGGGTGTTTTAACGTAAGGCCAGTGGACAGGAATGTGAGTTATTTACACTGTGGCTGCACTCAGCTACTAGGCCAGTCAGTGACTCAGGTATTTCTTTTGGAAGAAAGGCTCAAGTGATGTTTAATTTTTAAGCATGTCTCATTTTTGGCAGCCTGATGTTCGGATGTGGAATTCACTGAGTACTGTGTTTTTCCCAGCTCTTTCTATAGATGGGCCCTGCATCCTGCCACTGAGATGTGCGTTGCTTTTGTTCTGCGATGATACTCAGCCATCACAGATTAGCAGTGGGGCTTTAGACTGACTATTTACCTTCTGTTTGATCTTGGACATCTGATTTTGTTTTTCTGATCTTCAGTCTCCTTCTACATAGGATGGAGCTCATACTAACTTCACCATAGGCTTGTTGTTAGAATTACGTTAACTGATCAGAACATAACAGATTCTAACTGGTGCTTGCCTCTGGTAGCAGCAGAGGTTGCCGTAGCAGTTGTTCATTTTTTATTTTTCTTTGTGGTTTATTATTCTTACTGTTGAAATCATTTGACTACAAAACACAACTAAAAATATAAGTAAATGTACCTTAGTAAAATACAAATTTCTTATTAGTTAGTCTGCACTTCTAAGACCTTCACTAAACATGTACATTAAGTGTCTGTACGTAAGGCACTGCTCAAGGCCCTCGTGATTGAGCACCAGAATGGATGTCATTGTGTTGTACGGAGCAGCATGGGACACATGTGGCAGAAACACTCACGCGCGTCACGGGAGGCGAAGTGTGACTGTTTTCTGTAGAGTCATCAGGGCAGTCTCCTGTTAGAGAGTTTTAGATCCACAAGCATGAATCCATTAATATAGTTACAGGAGATAATACCTTAGTTAGAGCTGGTTTAGAAAACCTTGGCATAGTAGTGCAGTTTAATTCTGGAATTTCAGATAAACAAACTTTTCAATAGAACAGAACATTTTGAACTTCTTCACAGTGGATCTGTTTCAGCTCACATTCACTGATTTTAAACTTTAATCCTCTAATTATTTTGGACTTGGGTTGGAATTTATTTACCAGAATTAGATAATTAGATTATCAGAATTGAAATAGATTAACTATCTGAAGTATGATTAAAGCTTTTAATTGGTGTGTGAAGGGTCATGACTCTCCTAGAAGGGTTCTGAATAATTTGGCAAATGGTTAACATTGTAGAGAGTTCAAGCTGACCAGTCATCTATTTTTGCTATGGAAGTAAAAACACATTCATTAACTCTAGGATGTGGACTTTGTTATGCCAGTATATTTAGGTTGATGAGTACTGAAAAAATTTCTCTGAGAAAAGCAATGAGTTCATAGATAGGTTGTTTTAGAGAGAATGTGGAAAGTTTGTGTCAGATGTTACCATTTTAGCCTTAGAATTTGCTTTGAGATTCTCTTTTGTGTGTAAGCATTAATATTGTCTTTTGGAAGATAGTATTGATGCCTACTATTGGTGATTTGATAATGCTTTAGCAATGTTAACCCTTAAATTAGCCCTGAAGTAGATCAGCTTGACTTTAAAATAGTGGAAAAAAAAGAAAACACTAAAAAAGCCATCAATCAAACTAGATTGTTTTCAAGATCTTACAAGTTTCGGTTTAGGTGGCTGAATAGCACAACTGAATTTCTTCAGTTAGGAAATATTATTAAAATGTACTAAGCAAATGTCATATTTATAAGCTAAAAATGCCATACTGAGTGTTTCTACCTTCCCAGGGCCTCTTGGCCTGTGCAGTGCGATGGCCGGCTCTGGTGGGGCTTCTGAGAACGCTCTCCCTGGACCTGAGCCGGCAGGCTGCCTTCCCTGCCGCGGTCGTGGTTGGGCCAGGTGTGCGGTGCTCGGCGACTGACGCCGTGGAGCTGCTGCTCTGGCTCGGTGCAGGCCTGTGCCAGGCTCTGCTGTTACGAAGGTGATGTCTGCTCTTACTTAAGCTGCTTTGAGCTGGGTTTTGCTTTGCTGCTGTAAACATCCTGTAGGCCATCCAGGTGTCCTTTTGTGTATGTGGGCTGTCTCTTTAATTCCCTCTGGAAATTTCTCTTTTCTATCCAAAGAAGTCTCTAAAAGATCCTTGGTGTCACTGCAAGGTTTGGTGGTCATTTCTTGGTAAATGACTTGCCTTAGATGCTTAGCAGCAAGTTTATTGGAGAATGTATGCATGCATGCTGAGTCACTTCAGTCACGTCCAACTGTTTGTGACACTATGGACTGTAGCCCGCCAGGCTCCTCTGTCCATGGGATTCTCCAGGCAAGAATACTGGAGTGGGTTGCCATGCCCTCCAGGGGATCTTCCCGACCCAAGGATTGAACCCACGTCTCTTAAGTCTCCTGCATTGGCAGGAAAGTTCTTTACCACTTGCACCATCTGGGAATTACTGGAGAACACTTCTTTCAAAAAGAAAGTGGCACTAGTGGTAATGAATCCACCTGCCAGTACAGGAGATGGAAGAGATGTAGGTTTAATCCCTGGGTCAGGAAGATCCCCTGGTGTAGGAAATGGCAACCCACTCCAGTACTCTTGCCTGGAAAATTCCATGGACAGAGGAGCCTGGAGGGCTACAGTCCATAAGTCTCAAAGAGTAGGTAAAATAAATAAATTTATATTAAAAAAAAAAAGAAGAGTTGGACACAACTAAGCTCACATCACTTGCCTTTTCCTACTCCATGGAGTCTTCCTGANGGGGATCGGGATGGGGAACACATGTAAATCCATGGCTGATTCATGTCAATGTATGGCAAAAACCACTACAATATTGTAAAGTAATTAGCCTCCAACTAATAAAAATAAATGGGAAAAAAAAAGTTATCTACAAATAAAAAAAAAAAAGGAAAGTGAAAGCAAACCCTCTGGAAGAAGGAGAAGGTCAGAGCTGGTGAAAGGGAGTGAGGAGGGGAATCGGCCCAGCCAGGAGAGAAGGGATGGGGCAGAGGGGCGTCTGGTGTGGGGACGAGGAGGGAATCGGGGGGTCCAGAGAGAAGGGACAGGGCGGAGGGGCGTCTGGTGCCCTGGGGACTTGGGGTTTCAGGGGGAGAGGGAGAGACATTTGAAGAGTTTGGAGGGGCATTGTGTTTTACTGTATGTACTGAAACACCTTTTTTATGTCTTTAAGAACCACTGTCATCTTCTTTTTCTTTTTCCTAATTTATTTTTATATACTGAGATGACGACACTGTCCCGGCAAGTTCACTTCTATACAGACTACAACCAGACACCTGTCAGCATATAGTCTTTTTTGGTTGTAGATATAATGCTTTAAAAATCTTTCTTAAAAATGTATACATCTTGTTCCTGAGGATTGTGCTAGCTTGGAATCAAAAGTTTTTATAGGCTCCCCAGCCCGTGCCTCCCTCCCCCCGCCCTGCCATCCATATGTCTTTGGAATCTGTCCCCACTACAGGTAACAAGCTCATTTTAGGTGGACTTCGTGAAATGAAAAGACCCACCCTCACATTTCTAAGGTGCCTAATGAAAACATCCATCCTTCATTCCCTATTTGTGTCTTGATTTTTCCTATTTGGTTTCTTTATCCAAGGAATGAAGCATAAATCCTCTTTTATAAACTGTTCCTGGAAGTTTACTAGCTTCCTTTGACTTCGTTTCTAATTTTTTTCTTTCCTAGGTTATCAGGTCTACAGTGGAATCAAGTGGCTGCAAGTGTTCCTCTGTTAGAAAAGTTTGGTTGGCATTTAACTTTGCTCCTTGAATTCTTTCTTAAATATTATTTCTTCTTTAGTCTTCTTTAGTAAGAAATATAAATGACAACTATTTACAGAACATAATTTTAAAAGGTACATAGAAGACTGTAACAAAATTTTTCAAAAAGTGTGATGAAATGACTGAGTGTACATTGAGTTCTTAAATGTAGGATTATAGACTTTCTCAAACACGGAGGATGTGGTTTTCTGCATTGTCAGCCTTCTAGGCATAGTTTGATCAGATCAGGAAAGAACTGCTTTGAGGAAATATTAGTTGTATGCTCATTTGTATGTGTGCTTTTTCTCTAGGTAGAAAATCTAGACTTGATTTGTTAATATTTAATATCAGTGAGGGTATTTTCATACCTTTTAGTTTGCATTTTATTTTTTAGAGTTCAATTTCATATGTTAATTTGGGAAACATTGTCAGATATAGGTCAATCAAGTTGTTATCTCTGTTTTATTTCCTCACTTTTTGTCATCATTATTTAAAAATAGAAACTTAGATGAACCATAA